AGGCCAGGCCCAGTTAGATGTTTTCCTTTATGAGAGTTGCCGTGGGCATGATGTCTCTTCACAGCAACAGAAATCCTAACTAAGACAAGGACCTACTCCGAATGTGAGCAGCACCGTCTCATGGGCTGGGCCCTGGAGCAATGGAAAGGTGATAGGGAGCTGAGTGCATGCATGCATGCACCTGTTACCGTCTTCTGGCTGCAGATGCAAAGTGACCTGCTCTCCCAGGCTTTTGCTGCTGTGAATTCCCAGAAACAATGGGCTGTAACCTGGACTTGTGAACCAAATAAACCCTTGCTCCATTAAGTTGCTTTAGTCAGGGTCTTTTATCACAACAGGGGATTCCAAACTGATAGCCTCTAAGGGCAAAGGCCCCTCTCGTGACCAGGTAGCAAGTCTGTAAGGCCAGCCCCATCCTCCACTCCCTCACACAGTGCCACTGTCAGCATGCTCCCTACAGCCAGATAGCAGGAGCAATTCATGGGACCATGGACAAGTTAGCTTAACGGGCTCAGTGTCCAGCAATGATAGGGGCTTCTGTCTGCCCACCCCAGGCTGCTGTGTGTGGATTGTTAGGGTAGGTCAGGACCTTGCCTAGAAGACAGTTCTGATCACTACCCTTGTTGCCCACAAGGCTTCAGAGAAAGCCCAACACAAAGGAGCAGCCCAAGAATCATGACTGTGACCTAGGGGTCTGAGCCTGGGCCACCATCCTGAGAGGGACCGTGACCCTGGAAGAAGTCAGCAAGGAAGCATGGCCCAAAAGGAAGATTTGTGCTGGGTTTGGTGGCACACACCTTTAACCCCAGCACATGGGAAGCAGACACAGGTAGATCTCTGTGAATTTGAGGCTAGCCTAGTTTACATAATGAATTCCAAGACAACCAGAGCTACAAAATAAGACCCTGTCTCAAAAAAGGGGGAGTAGGGTGGGATTTGATGGAGCTCACCATTTTTCTTGGATAAGCTGTGTGCCTCAGTTTCCCTTCAGTCACAGGGAAATCCCCACCTTCCTACTATGGGTTACTATGCATTGGGTGTAGGCAGAGGGTCCAGACTACCTATTTGAGTTAAAAACAAGAGCGGCAAGATGAGGAGATGAGCAGTCCCCACACATGTCCACAGATGCATCTCTTGAGGGTCAGGGTTCTAAGAAAGTACTGACCAGTCCACCTATGGGCCAAGGAAAGCTGAGTAGTTTAGCAGGCTAGAGCCAGAGTGCTGGAATAGCACTATGGAGAGTCATAATAACAGTGACCCCAGCTCTGGCATGGGTTCTCAGGGCCACAGCACCCTGGAGCAAAGATCAGGAAGCACTTAGGAGCCATTTAGGGGTGGGCTGAAGAACCTGGGGCCTGGAAAGCTTCCTTGGTGCAGGTTCATGACCCAGAAAGCTGCTAGCACGTCTCGTCTCCGCAGGTTGGGCTCTTCACATGGCTCATCCATGTGCACCTGCCACCTCTTAGCCTGGCTGTCACCCTGCCAAGCATCACGGTTGCTATGGAAATGAAGATGTCACCTCGTTCCTCTCCCGGGACCTGCACACCCTGTGCCAAGGACACAGTGTGAGCTTTGCTGCCTCTCAGCTTCTTTGACACTGTCATCCCTCCAGCTGACTGCACTGGCCCAGGATGCCCTGGCATCAGAGCCAAGCCCGGAAGCCTCACAGATAGCTCCCTGGAAGTGTGTTCCCTCGGGGCTCCACCCTTAAGACTGTGTCACTCCAGTTCTGTGCCCTGAGGGATGCCCCCAGGTTACCCCATAGTATGTCCGGGGGCTATGCCTTTCCTAGAAAGTCTGTGCAGCTAAGGAGAGACACACACGAGGGCCTCAGCAGCCATGTCCCGACCACTCCCCAGCCCCCACTCTGCTGCACTACCTGAACTATCCTGGTGCTCACCCTGGGATTCAGGCTACAGAACTGGCCCACCGTCATCACCCAAGATCCAAGCATCTAATAACCCACACCCATTGACCGCTGGCATTGTGTTTCTACCCCATGCCCACATTCCTGTGACAATGCGTCTTCTCATCATCTTTGACATAGACAGTCTCTGCTTTAGAAGGGTTCCTAAGCTCAGCCCCCTAAATTCCAAAATCTGTAAATTTATCATGAAAGAAAAGTCACATGCACCTCCTAGACCTTTCTTTGCCTGCACTGGTCTCGAAGCACTGGTTGCTTCTTCTGTTTGACCCTGACCCCTCTACCTGTTGTCTCTCCAGCTTCACCCACGGCTGCCCAAATCCTTGCCTCAGGGGACACCTTTCCTGGTCTTAACCAAGCAAGTCCATGTGCAGCCACTGTCAGTGTCTGTTCTCCTTCGGATCTTACCTAGAGAAGAAGCAATTGTGTCCTTTCTCTTGGACCTGCCAGCCTGGATCTGTGCAATGCTGTAAAGTGTCGGCAGGTGGCATCACTGCACTGTCTGGGCCCTTTCTGCTAGAGGCTAAGGGGAGACCATCCAGGGTAGCACAGCCTTCGCTCCCCACACCACCCCGCCACCACGCCACCCCCACCCCCTGCCTGTGGCCCCACCCTGAGATGTTCTGAAGGCTGAAGTGCTCCTGGGGTGGGAGCGGGGCAGCAGAGAGTAATTCAGGACTCTGCCATTTTTTTTAGAATGCACCTAGAGATGGCATTAATATAATCCTGGGTCACAGATGGGGACAAGGAGGCAGAGCAGGTTTCTTAAAGTGACCCAGCAGGACCCAAGAGTCTAACCCTATCCTCCCTGCCACACTCCAAACCTCAGTCCAGGGTAGCCTGGTCACAGGCAGTACTGTATGCACCGATCTTCCGTGGGGACTCTGACCTCAGTACCTAGTGTTTCTGCTCAGCTGGGATTGGGGGAAGTTCCTAGACAGAGGCTCCGACCCTCAGACCAGAGGTGCCAGCAAGGCCAAAGCCAATGCTAGGGAGTGGGGACCACCTTGGGTGCCAGAGGCCAGGCCTGATGGAGGTCAGAGGACAAGTTAAGCTCTACTACCAGACAGGCCAATTGGAGCCATCAAACCTCCAGCCCCTCCCTCCTGCCCCATGGCGTCCCAGCCTAAGAATCAGGCCATCCGGAGCTTCACGAAGGGCAAGACCAGGGAGTCTGACGGTGCCTCTCCTTAGCAGAGGCCTAAGAATATGGAGGGCGTTTGTGCCTGGCTGCCACAGGCAACTGGGTGTAGGGAGTGCTGAGTGCTGTAAGGGAGCCCAGCGCAGTGTGAACAAGAGGTGCGTGCTTCTAAGAATGCGGCAACTTTAGCTTTCTGCAAGAAGCCAGCAGACGGTGCCCACCCCTCCGGGCTCTGCTGACCACACAGACTACAGAGCCAGGTCACTGGGCAGCAGAGAATCCTGTGTTAAGCAAGCCAGCCTGTGCACCTCTGGGGATTGGCCCCGTGGGCTCTCTGAACTGAGTTTTCCTCCCTAGCCCTAGGGTCCAGGTAGTTCTGGAAGGGCCTGGGGAATTAGTGTTCTGCAGGGCTATTCCCTTCCCTGTTGCTACCCGATGGGCTCCTGGATTTCTGCAAAGTGCTGCAGCTCATCATGCTGTGTCACGAAGCACAATATGCAGGTTCCAGCACACTCCCAGGGGGCGTCACCTGCTAGCAGCTGGTACCCGGGGAATGTGGGTCAGATTCTATGGAGTTACTGTGCCTCTACTCTCAGGAGCTCCCCCAGGGATGGGGGTTCAAGCTCCAGATGGGTTATACCTCCCCAGAGGTCTGCACCCAGATCCCCAGAGCTGCTGTAGCACTGCACCCACCTATGACCACTTCGGGCAGCTGTCGCCCACAGGTACTGACTGGAAGTCAGATGTGAATATTTCATGGGTGGCAACATAAATAATGCACTTAAGCAGAAAGACAATGTGAATATTTTATACATCGATGTGCAGTTGAATTTTAAAAATGGTTGGTGCTATCAGCACAGCCTGCTGGTCACATGGGCAGGGCTGGTGGCCTGGGGCACTTCTCAGGCGCAGGTCTGTGCTGAGAAGCATATCTGTCTATACTTACTGCTCTCCTATGGTTACAGTTCAGTCCCTTCCTGTTGCCCCAGCCTCCCACCTACCCCTCCTGACTCCATTGTCCTCCAAGACCCACGGGATCTACATGCTGGCATCCCATGTATCTGGGACCTCAGCAGCTGACCCTTTGAATGGAGATGGCTCTTCCCAGCCCTTCTAGGTGGGGCCCAGATAAATAGAACTCACTGCATCAACATCCTGGGGTCTCCTGCTCTAGGGGGAGCAAATAGAGGCTTGATTCCTAGACCACAAAGTCCTCCAGCCCACCATCTCATGGTCCCTGCTTCATGTTTTTCTCTTAAATAGATATTTCTCTTTGTAGTTTCAGATTTTTTAATAATGCACATTTTATCTTACTAACATCTATAATAAAAGCCCGAGACAAAACCCTAATACCAGAAGGACTTGGACAAGGTCTAGGGCAGGCAGCCTTTTTCAATTGGAGTGGAGCCTGGAGGAAGCACATAAGGGCCACATCTGGGAAGGGGGCCTCATTCTGGTGCTCTCAGGGGATTCTTCTTTTGTTTAGAAACCCCACTTACTAACAGAATGCTTAATTAGCACTGTTATGGCTTTCCTTGCTGTATTTGAGGGCTCTTTCGGCTGGTGTCTGGGGACTGGCTTCCCTAACCTTAGCCCCGCTCAACCCCACCACCATCCTACCCCTTAGATTACATTTTAATTAGGATTTTTTGACAGGCAATTTGTTTCCTGCCTCTGCCTGAGCAGGTCCTTAGCTTTCTCAGGCTGCCTCTCCTCCATATTCTGAAGGGCCTTGGGAACCCTTCCAAAACAACCTAGGGTCCTGGGAATGGGTGGACGGGTGCCAGGTGGGCTTCCCCAACTTCCCCAGATTGGGAAGAGGGCTCTTGGGAACGACAGCTTCCCCAGGCTACATTCCTGAAAGCAGGACTAGGGCCACCTGTTCACACAGGCCCAAACCGGCTTTTCCAGCTGCCTGCCAGGCAGCCTCACCAGGTTCTGGCCCCTGGCCTCTGGTGTGTAGGAGGCCAAGGAGACGGTTGCTGTGGGGCCTGAGGCTGGCCTTGGAGAGAAAACTGGAAATGTGCTTCTTGTCTGAGGTTTGTGTAAGAACAGGAACCTACAAACCCTGCAGTGCCTGGGCCTTCCAGGGGAAGAGATGGAAATGTTGATTCAGAAGGGAGGAGGGGAGAAGGCAGGTGGGGGAGGGGAGGGAGGAGACGGGAGGAGTGCAGGGCTGGCCCTCACCAAGGCTGCTTACACTAAGCCTCTGCCTCTCAAATCTCCCGCAGGGAAGGCTGTCAGAGGGTAGAACCCAGTGGCCCAGGCTAATGCTACATCCAGTCCCTGCCCAAGGCACCCAGAAGCGCAGGCCTAAGCCTGTACCTGCACCGTCCCTCAGTGCCCTGTGGCGGTTATCCCTGAGCCTTGATGGTCTGAGTCATGCGTTGGGCCACTCTGAGGACCACTCTGACCACCAGCACTCAGGATAGGGTAGGGGCTGGATTCCAGGCCTGGATGCAGCCCCATACTACTAGGAGGATCCTAGAGTCTAGGCCCTGGGCTTGCCTGTCACTCTGGCATAGAACACTAGAGAAACACTAGAGTAGGTCTCCCTGGCCCCTGGTTCCAAGCTCAGGGGCGTCTTTTAAGAGGTGTAGCCTGGGGGATTTCCACAGTGAGCTGCCAAGGCCAGGCTGTGCTCCTGAGTAGCCCAAGTGTCCCTCTCCCCAGAGAGCCTCCTCATCTCTTGTCTATTTTCCACCCCAAATACCCAGAACCCCTGGGAAACAACCTGGATGGCTGCACTCAGAGGGTCAGTTGGAGACCCAGTCTCCCTCCTCCTCTTCTCTTTTCTTCCCCTATCCCTGGCCAGCTCCTATCTTCCTCCTCCTCCTCCTCCTCCTCCTCCTCCACCTCCTCCTCCTCCTCCACCTCCTCCTCCGCCAGCTCCTCCCCCTGCCCACACTTCCTCTGTCTCTCCCTCAGTGAGTCAGCAGGGAGCTGACAGCCCATTGCAATCCCTTAGTCTAGCCACCCTCTTCTTCCAGAATGATCCACTTGAGGCCTCCTCTGCACTCAGTCCTGCCCACCTTTACCCTGACCCTGCTGGACCTAGAGAAGTAAACCAAGTTTCCCTCTCACCCTTGGCCTGACGTCTATTGCTGCTGGCTCCAGAGCTGATTGGACCTTACCTAAAAGCACTTTTGAGTGCCCCTCTTCCCATGGGCCTGGCATGGGGGTGGGGGTGGCAGTGTTGAGAGGGACTTGATGTTCGCTCATAGGCTGGGTGGGGACGGGGCGCTGTGCCACACTCAAGGCCCAGCCTTACCATGGACCACGGCAGCTCATCTCTTAGTGGCTTTCACCTTGGGCCCCTCCAGAGAAGCTGCTAAAACCTTTCTCATGCTTTTCTGTGGAGAATAGGTACTCAAGGCCCACCACTGAGACCACAGACCCTCACCCTAGGTCTGAGCCCAAACACATTGTTTTTCTATCCAAAGGTCCAGACGTAAGGAGGCTCTATCGAATGCCTTAAAGTCAATTCCTGGCCCAGTTGTATGAGGATGTCCCCCAGACAAGGCTAAGACCACTGTGACCAGCCTCTTCTCCTCAACCTTTATGAGGCCACCCGGGTTTCTGGTACATGGACAGAGCCTGGAGTGGCTGGGCCTACTCAGCTAGAGCACAGTGTCCAGGAAGCACTGGCAGCCAGTTGGGCAGGGACATTTCAGGTTCCTTTGACCATTCCTTCTCTCCCCAAGTCTTAGCCTTGGGTATCTGAGGCAGAGACGACTTGTCAAGTAAGGACCAGGGCCCTTGCTGGCTCCTACTGGGATGTGGTGATGACTGGGGTGTAGAACAAGTCTAGATATATGGCCGAGCATGGCTAAGAGGACAAACCAGGAGAGGGACAGGAGTCGGGTGAATGGGGCATGAGGAGAAAGGGAAGCTTGGGGGCTGGGGCCTGGAAGCTGTGACTCTCCTGCCTTCCTCCCCCAGATTCTGCTGGGGTAACCAGGCCTAACCACTCAGTTCAGCTCAGGGACTTCCAGGCTCCAGGGCTCCACCACTGACTCAGCTTGGCTCCTAACAGTTCATAAATATTCATTTAAAAATTAAAGCTCCATTAAAGAGCTAACTGGTTGCTGATATTTGCAAATTATTTTTGTGCAAAAAAGATTTAGTGGTAGAGGATGAAGCCCAAGACGCAGTTCAAAGGCAGTGATGAGACAGGGCCCCCTCACACAGTATCTGGGGCCAGAGCACCAAAGCGGGTCTTTGTGTTGCCACTTAGCCTGCTGGGGCCCTTTCCTTGTACCTGGAGGTAAACAGTGAGGTGTTGAGGTGGCACCCTCTGGTGTCAGCAGTCCTAGGCCCTTGAATGCCCAGGACTCACAGGTAAGTCTAGTAGACACAGAGGCATACAGATCAAACCCTAAGGCCCGAGGACCTCCTGCTCCAGACTTTAGAAGCCAGAGCCTTGTGGCTCCAGGTTCCAAGCTGGAGGCTCATCTCTCTGGGCACTGAGACCCAGCCACCCTTGGCAGCCGTCGGCTTCCTAGGCTTCCATGACAAGTGAGTGGCAGCAGCAGGCAGTGTTAGCTGCTCAGTTCTCATAAGGACCAGTGGCCTGGGGTACTTGGACCCGTGGGGTGACACTTACTTCCAGGCACTGAGGCTCATGGTTTCTTGCCTTGCCTTGCTGTAACCTTTGTCATCTCCACAACTTCCACTCTCTGCCCTGGGCCACTCTGTGGAACTCTCCAAACCTCCTTGCCACCTCCACTGCTGCCCTTCTTGCTGTCTCTTCTTTGTTACCTGCTCCAAGCTGTCTTCACATTCATGATCCTCCTTCCTCAGTCTCTAAGTGCTGAGACTGTAGGTGTATGCTGCTATGCTCAGCTTGGTGGCCATTCAAATTACTCCTATGAATGAATGGTTCAATCTCCAGGTCACATGTCTAAAAGTCGTTCTCTCGAATGTGCTATTTGTGACCCCCTGAGATGTAGTTGTCTGATCTTTTACTGCTGGACATTCTCCTGTCTCAGTGTTGCACTGGGACTACGGTAAATAGCAGGAGATACAGGGTCACAGAACACCTACCAAGGTGTGTCTCAGAAGCAGGAATAACAATCCGTGGAGGGGGAGAGAGACAGAAATTAATTTAAAGGTGACATGTTGGCTTTACGGACGCTGTAACCATACGAGACACACAGTTACTGAAAGTGAAGCTAAGTATTTAATGTAGAAAATTACTCACAAGATACCAAACCCCGAGAAGCCCAGCAGATCTCAGCTAGCGACTGGACCGGAAGCCGAACTCCAGGAAAAGAGAGCGAGACTTCCTGTGCGCTGTCTTTTATGCCTTCCCCCCCCCCATAATGCCCCTAGCCATGCCCAAAAGTGGGCTTGGCTAGTGACGTAGTTCCGCCTACGTACGTATACGTCTTTAGTCCTGCCTAAAGTGGGTGTGGTTAGCGGTGTGGTAAACCGCCCTTTTATTACCTCATCTGTATGCGCCTCTAGTAAGTCACATGTTTAATGGCGGCATAGACTTAGTAAGTCACATGTTTAATGGCGGCATCAGACTTCCTCCTACAGTGACACACACTTTTAATCCCAGCTCTTGGGAGACAGAGGTAGGCAGATCTCTATGAGTTCCAGTCCAGCCTGGTTTAAACAGTGAATTCCAGGACAGTCAGGGCTGTTACACAGAGAAACCTTGTCTCAAAAAACCAAACCAAACAAACAAAGTGCCCACAGATAGCAAGAGAACTGGAGTCACAGGGTGACTCGACCCTGCATGCTCCTCATCCTGGCTGCTAAGACTGGAGTCACAGACCATGTGGCCAGGCTCTGCAGCTCTGTCACCAAGCATGCAGTGGACAGAGGCAGCAGGTGCTGTGCTGAGGGCCAGGGGGGTATTGTCAGCTCTCCCCTTAACTTGTTATGCTCTTTGAGTTCTCATACTTCTATAGTTTGAGCCTTAACCGCATCCTCAGTGGCTGTGTGAGGAAGGCTTGGTCCTGAGCTTGGTGCTCTAGGGAGACGGTAGCATCTTTGGGAGAAGGGGCCTACTGGAAGTACAATGGTGGGTTGTGCCTTTCTGGAGGAAGGCTATTAGGACCCTAGTCTCTTCCTCTCACTCTTGGCTTCTTGGTAACTTAACAGTAAGTCTGTTTCTCTGCCACATACACCAGCTATGATGTCCTCAGCTGACACAGTCACAGTGCTAACCCACCAAGGACTGAAGCTTCTGAAACTGTGCGCCAGAGCAAACTTTTCCTCCTTTCATTATCTCAGGTCTTTTGTCACAGGGACCAAATACTAACTAACATATTTTGGTTTTTGAGAAAAAGTAATATTGGATCATAAAACCTCCCTTCCCTTCACCACTCATGCCCCAGGCTGGCAGGGCAACAGGCTGGGCCATTCTTAAGGGCCTATCACTTGCTGCTTAACTGTTCTCGGGGCTGAATTGTCTTTCAGGGACGGAATATGTCTCCAGGGCTCACAAAGGTGCCTGATACTGTAGTGAGAGATCTTACTAGGTACCTGAATTTTGACCACGCCCATTTGGGTGTGGTCACAGGTTTGTGAGTGAGCATGTAAGATTTAGGTCTGAGGTGAAGGACAGGCTCTCTCACTGGGTTCCGGTCGGCTCTCAGAGGGCAACTGAGCTCAGAAGCTCAGAATGTAGATCCTGGGTTATTGGTTTCTCATGTAAGTGATTTCTCCCTAATAAAATTAACCTACTTTACCCCAATCCTGTGTTATTGTGATTTGTGCAGCCATGTGGTACAGATGCTCACATGGAGACGCAGCTGGAATTGAACATCACTTGGCAGCCAGTGTGAGGAACATGCTCGATGGAGATGATAAAGGATGCAAAGGAGTCCTGAGAGCTAGGATCTACACCTTGGTGGGGTCCAAAGAACATGGAATGGACAGCTTGGGGGTGCTCCCAGAGGAAGCAGTGAACCTGGATCCTATGGAGGGATGGGCGCAGGTCTGTATTAGTTATTCCTGTGTCACCATGAACCAAAACATCTAAAGGAACAAGTTGAAGGAGGAAGACCTTAATCTAAGACATGGTTTCTCAGTCCATGGTCACTTGGCCCTGTGCACTGGACAGACCATTGTGGTCTGTAGGAGTGTGTGTACAGGAGCAGGCTGTTTGCCTCAAGGCAGACATGAAACCAAGACTGAAAAAAGGGCAGAGGACCAGCTATAATTTTAAAGGCACAGCTCCCGGGCAACCTGTTTCTCCAAATAGGTCTACCTACTAAGGTTTGTAGAACCTCCCAGAATAGCGATATCAACTGGGGACCACGTGTTCCGGCATTCAGCACACAACACAGACAGTGTTCTTCTGGAACCTCTTGCCTAGAATAGAGTGGAGGTCGGGCAGAGCTCCCTATTCGTGTTCCCTCTTCTGAACCATCTGATGGGTTGCTGAGCAATCAGAGATTATGGTGGGTGTTTGTGTCACCTGTCAGGGAAAGCAGCATTGCTGGATTCAGAAGAGCCCTCTCTGTGTTGTCGGATGACAGCCTCACTTCATCAAGGCCACAGCAACTGGACAGGAATGGAGGAGCTTATGTGGGAGGAGGTAGTCTTGGCTGTTGTGCTGGTTTGCTGGTCACAGGACAGCTGTGGGGGAAAACTTGCTCTAGACCTTCAGCTCACTCATTTAACAACAGCTTGGGCAGCTCAGAAGTCTCTGTAGTTTACTCTGTAAGGGAGGGGCTGTGGAGGGCAACCCTAAGTTTTCTCTGGATGAATCTCATGTCTGCTCACTATGTGGGGCCAGGGATGGTGTCTTTTTTTTTTTTTTTAATGTGCCTGAGTGTATGTCTGCGTGAGGGTGTTGAGCCCACTAGAACTGGAGTTATAGACAGGTGTGAACCACCATGTGGATGCTGGGAATTGAACCTAGGTCCTTTGGAAGAGCTGTCAGTGCTCTTAACAGCTGAGCCATCTCTCCAGCTCCCAGGGATGATGCCTTAATTAGGATTTTGTAGAGGAACAATTTACAGGCTGTAATCCAGGTAGTCCAACAGTGGCTGTCTACCTACAGAAGGTTCAAGGATACAGTAGTTGTTCGATCCTTGGACTTGGATGCCTCAGCTGGTCTTCAGTATGTGACAGAATCCTGAAGAAGTAGGCTCTAATGCCACTAAAGGAATGGGCACCCTGTGGAGAGCAAGCTAGCAAAGACACAGCAAGCTTCCTTCTTCCATGAATACAGGCTGCCAGTAGAAGGTGTGGTCTAGATTAAAGATGAATCTTCCCACCCCAAAGATCCAGTTTAGAAGTGGGTCTCCCCATATCAAATGATCTAATTTAAAAAAATCCCTCACAGGTATGCAGGGCCATTTGGGTTTTAGTTAATTGTAGACTGAATCTAGTCCCCACAGGTGGAAAGTTACAGACATTCAGGGTGGGTGGCAGAGGGGGCCATTTCTCCAACAGCATGCTGCACCCATGGGCAATTGTGGAGTCAACCCAGCTTTCAGTCCCAGTCCCCAGTCCCTCCCCAACAGAGACTCAGAGAGACAAAGTACAGCCCTTCTTAGGACAGAACACAGGGAGGGACAGCCGGTGGCCTGGTACATGGTAGGCAAAGAAGGACCAGGTGCCTGCTAGTTCCACGGGGTTAGCATGTCCAAGATATCCAGAGCTCTGTCCCTTGCTATCTCTGGGTCCATTCCTTAGAGTCCACCAAAGCCCCGCCCTCTATTATCCCCTACCCTACCCCACCCCCAGCTCTCCTATCAGCTCTCTGCATCTCTTACAGGCTCTCTGTTCCATCTGGCCTCTGCAGGACTAGCAGGTCTTTCAGGGGAGAGATAGAGCTACACAGGAAGCCACCAGCTCAGTACGGACACATCCAGTGTCACCTACAGCCTGTAGTATGTGTTGGACTGACCAAACTACACAGTGCCCGGGCCAGACGAGTGTGCTTCTCATCCTGCTGGACGATTCCTTGCCCCTCCTTGCTATTATTGACACCTCCCCCCCACACACACACATCATGGGTAAAGCAAGAGTGTGCACTTCCCATTGCCCTGTCCCTACATGTGCCCTTCCTGTAACTACAGGCATGAAAATGAATGAATAGAAAGTGAAAGTGCCCCTAACAGAGTCCTCTACACAATCCTGGCAGAAAGAGTCTGGTCTCGGGACCAGCGCAGGACAAGGAGCCCACAGAAGGGTGCTCTGACCGTACCCACTGCTCAAGCCATGTGACTCCTATTCCTGATGGGTGTTTCCAACTTCCTGGGCCCCAAAGTGCTTTGGGGACCACGAGGAAGCTGCACTGGGTGGAGCAAACGGCACCCACTCAAGTCCTTTGCCCGTTTTTTGAGACATGGTTGGGTTTTAGGAGCTCCCGTGTCATCTGAGTTGTTTGCTTAGAATTCTAAGAGCCATGTGAAACAGCATAGAGGTTGCTCATGACTGGCCTCTGTAGATGATGCCTGTGGATCTCACTGCTACCTACAGTCCGAGGGTACCAGCTTCCTTCTTGGCTCCGGATGCCTGCTCAAGCTAGCACTCAAAGAGGCAGTGAAGAAATCTGAGGCCCCAGGGATCAAAGTGGCTTCAAAGTTACTAAATTGTCCTAACAGCTGAGGCCAAGGCCTGAGTTAATCTAACCACCACATACTGCCTCGACCTCTAAGCTTCCTAAAATAAATAGTTTTGTCCCAAAGTAGAAGAAATATACAAAGGCATCCTATAAATAAATAAGAAAATGTAAGCATCAGGAGTTTGGGGGGGGGATGGGCTGTCAGGAGGAAGTCAGATGGCTCAGTAAACAGCATGGCTTATCTCATGAGTAGCCATGGACTTGTGCACTAAGGTTACTGGATTAATCAAGTGTTGTGCAGATGTACAGCTTCCTTTCAAATGGAACTTGCCTTCCAGCTGCCATTGTGCTGCTACCTCCCAGCCTGTAGAGCATCAGAACCCAGTGCCATTGCACTGAGGCCACACTCTTCCAGCAGGCCTGGGCCTGGACTGAATACCACACTGGGCATGCCTCACTTGAGGACCGTGTGGTTGCACAAGTGCCCCTCCCCATCCTCCCCTGGTGTTGGCTGTCCTGCTGTTAGATTCTCATGGTGGTCTGAGCTTCTCAGTTCTGCTCCCTCTTTACTTTGCATTAATGCCTCTCCCAGCTGTTTCTCAGTGCTGAGTTCCTGTGAAAAGCCAATACACAGGTACACAGCTCATACACAAGAACATTTGTGGGGCACATACACACTTATGCACATCCTGCCCTGGACAGAAGAGGGGCTGGTAGATGCAGTATGCTACAATATGCTACAAATTATCTGCATAGTTTGAAGGCTTGGTCCCTGCATCCCTGTAACCTACAACTCCCTGGATGGGAGGGAGGTTGTCTACAGAAAAAGCCGCAGACTGGTATAAACAGTTCACCAGGGGACACACTTATCACGGGGTTGTTATAATAGTCAAATCTAAAAGCCATCTACATTTGCAGTCATGGAAGTCAGGTTATGTAACTCTCTGCGCTCACGCAGTGGAATGCCAGGGGGTCACTCAAAAGGCCTCAGGGTAAGCAGCAGCTTCTGTGGGAAGATGCCTCCTGTGTGGGGACAGAACGGGTTGAGCAGTGGATACCAACGCACTGCAGTTCACTCCTTAAGCCTCTTCACACCTCTTCTGCAATGGGGCAAAGCTCAGGGAACTCAGTCACATGCTGAGACCTGGTGGCCACTAAGTAAGGAAGCTTGAAGCCTCCACACCGCTCCCTGGCTCCTGAAAGAGAAAGAAGGAGGGGGAGTGACAGGGCTTGAAAGGACAGCCACTCTCAGCGTAGGAGGATCAGGGAAATAGTTTTTACTTAACTGACATTTTCCTGTGATTTTCCCACTGAGCGTATGTCACTCTTAATGTTTCAGAAGAGAAAGGGAAATGTCATGCTTCCCATTTCAACACCACGTCTGCGCCTGCCATTTCCTTTGCATTTTGGATAAAACATTTCCTGCAAGCATATCTTTCTGGAGTATCTATGTTTCCAAGTAGTCTGTGTGGTCCTTTAGACCAGAGCCTTAGAAATGACTTCACCTGGAGCCAGGAAGGACCTAGGACATCCCCCTGTAGGCCACACTCAGCAGGATGTGCCATCAGCGGATGACTCAGTACAACCTGGGGTGACTCAGAGACTGCTGAGTGTAAGATTCACCCTAAAGAGTCCTGTTTGTGTAAACAACCCTCTATGCTTGAAGTAAAATGATGTTATAGTCAGATTTGTTTCTCTACCTTCACATGTACACATACATGCACACACGTACGCATGCACACACGCACGCACACACACACACACACACATCCCCAAAAGAAATACAGCAAAGTGGTTAACTGATTTAATCTCTAGTGAGTTGAATACGGAGCCATGCCTTAGCTCCATCCTCCGGCTTCTTGATGCTTAAGGAGAACAGCCACAAGTTTTACAGTGAGAACAGAGAAATATAAGGAACGTTCAGGAGGACTGGGCATCAGTGAGGATCAGCTTGAGCCTGTACTTCTGGGAACAGGGTGCTTCATGGCTGAAATCTCTGTGATGGCTTATATTGTCAACAAAATGTGATAGGATCTAGAATCACGTAGGAAACAATCCTCTAGCGATACCAGTGAGAGATGAGATTAGGCCAGCCTCTGGGCATGACTGTGAGGGCTTATCTAGGTTATGTCAATTAAGGTGAGAGGGCCCACCTTTACCGTTCAGTGAGCTGGGGTCCTAGACTACAGAAAAAAGGAGAAAGGGGGTTGAGCACTAGCACGCACAACTCTGTTTCTCAACTGAGTGCCATGTGACCAGTGGCCTCATGTTGCTGCTGCCTTTATATCCATGCCACGATGGACTGTGTCCCTCAAACTGTAACTGAAACGAACCGTTCCTCCCTTAGGTGCTGGAGGAATTTAAGACAGGAATTTGTCAAGGCAATGAGTAAACTGATGCACTGAAAGTTACTCCCAGGCTCCAGGAAGAGACCTGGCATTTCCTATGAAGCCTCAGTGTGGCTCCAGGAAGGACTGAAACTGAAATGAACAAGCTAGCTGTACACACAGAGCCCCAGCCCTGTGCACAGAGGCCATCACCCATTAGGACATGATGTCTCCCAACAGGAGTCTGGTGTGTGACTGGCGTGAGTTGAGGTCATAGGTACATCCTGAACTTCTCTACCCTGACCTGCTGGCAGGTACACTGGAATGTCCCCTGTGGGGCTCCGGAAAGAGAAGCTCGGTGTCTGCTCCTATACTTGGGACTGTCTGGGTACTGCACACCTGTTCTGTCCTCAGGCTGAGGACATGGCACATTCTAGGTTGTAGAGCTAGCAAGGGTCTCAGGGACAAGCAGGGTATCTGTTGGCCTTAGTCCCCCCCCCCAAAGTCTGCCCTGACCCTGGCTGCTCCTTTGAGGTTGAATTGGGGTAACATTCCCACTCATTTTCTCTGTTCCTACAGGCTCTGGACACATGGCCTGGACTTGAAGCAAGTGGCAAGTAGAGGAGCATTCAAGGTTAAGATGACTGTACCCATGCAGGGTGTTGCCTGGGATCCAAATCCCTGAGGGCCCTGGCTGTCTGTCATAAGCCACACTAAATGAGAGGCTTCCTAGACCCTTGCTTTTGATTTACGTGCCATGGAGTCTCCTGCCCAAGCCGTGTTCAGCAGCTGCAGGGTGACAGCTGACTGAGTCCTGCTGCATCTTCCCTTTTAAAGGGCCTCCACAGTGCCCTCTAAACTAGTGTTTGGCTAAACACTAAGTGAGCATGGAGGACCCAGGAAAGCAACCCTCCTGCTTTCTGCTGCAGACTGGTGCTGGTCTACTCTGAATTCATTTTGAACCTAACCCCCAAAAGGACTGTGTCAGGAGGTTTACTTCAGAACTAATCAGGTCCTTGGACTCTGCCCCTATAGTAGGCCTGGAGGAAGGAAGACCACCCAGCAGAAGGCCTGGAGGGATTCAGACCACCCTATAGAAGGCCTGCAGGGCCGCAGACCACCCTGCAGAAGATCTGGAGTATGCGGACCACCTTCCTGACTGTTTTCTTGTGTGAAGACCCAGTGAGATCAAACCCTCTGGAGCAACCCAGTTGACCAGACACCAGGTCAGCTGAGGCTCAATTGTGAGCTAACCAGGCTAGAGTAAAAAATAAAAATAAAAAAAATTATGGGATAGAAAGATGGTTCAGTGGTTAAGAGCTTATACTGCTCTTCCTGAGGATATGAATTCAGTTTCCAAGATCTGTATCAGGTGCCTATAACCCCAGCTCCAGGGGGATCTGACACATCTGCCCTTTGTGGGCATTTGCATTCATGTGCATAATACCACACAGACACACATGCACATAATTAGAATAATAAAAATAAACCTAAAAATCTTATTTTGTTTATCAACTTTCAGGTCTAATATTTATTGTATCATAAAATAACAAGGACAGTTATGAAGGCCTGCTCAGACTACAATAGGTTCTGGGAATGGTGGCAGCCAGTCATTGTACCCACTGCTGGCTGCACATGATCGGGCCTGCCTGCTGTTTGCTCAAGGTGCCTACACTGGGACATAGTCCAGACACTGTGAGCGTCCCCTATGCCACAGGGCACCACTAGGCATCCATCTCAGGAGAAGCCCCTTCTTCCCACCAGACACAACTTTATTTAGTATATCCCATGTCAATCAGGTATCCAGGCTGTCCAAACACAATGCACAAAGATCAGACTTCCTGTTCAATAAGTCCATAGGAAAATGTTCCCTGAGGCAGAGCCCTCTGGGAGGAAGTTAGAAGCTGCAGGGTCCTGGCTGAGGTCAACGGGAAGATGCTCCCTGGCACTGTCCTTTAAATTCTGCCTGGAGCAAGCAAGAGCAGCAGACAGGTAGGTGCAGGGTTTATGGAAGCACCAGACACCCACGTGGGCAGCACGGGCTCCTACCCCTAGCCAGGTGGCAGCACACAATGATAAGGGTAGTTCATACCTGTCAGCATAGACTCTTCCGTTTTGTCTCTAATCCAATATCCACTTAAGGGGGAAATGGTCATTAATTTTAATGTTAAGTATGTAAGTCCCTCTCCCCTTCCCCCTTCTTGAGACAGGTTCTCCCTCTGGAGCCCAGGCTCTTGTGGAACTCACTATGTAGCCCAGGCTGGCCTCACATCTGCCTCTGACTTTCGACTGCCACCACACCCAGCCTAACTATGCAAATCCTGCATGCTTTAATTCCTCCATTTGCTCCTAAAGCAGACATATTCCAATCAGCAAAGAGGAAGCAACATGTATTGAATCAAACACCCAGATTTGCCTCTCTTAGGATGATGCAGAAACAGGGTGGTGGGGGAGGGGAAGGTATGGGTGGCAGTGGGTGGAATGAGGGCCTGATTGATCTTGTCCATCCCCTCCCTGACTGCTGTCCTCCCTGCTTGTCATTCTTTCTGGCTAGGGCCCAGCTCTCCACGGAAAGGTATTTCCTTCTCTGCTGGGTCCACATCAGCTGACTGGACAAAGGTCTGCATGTGATCCTGTCTACGAAGTTACCTTAAACCCCTCACAGCCACTACCCAGGCCCATGTGAGACCTGTGGGAGAAAACCATTGGTAGCTCTGAAGGCTGGGGTCCCTGGGCCTTTCCTATCCATCCCTTTCTGTGTTTGTGCCTGGAGTGCCCAGTGCTTTCTCAGCTCTTTCTACTGGGGTCTGGGCTGCAGAGGAGGGGCAGAGGCCCTGGCGCTGCTGCCTTCTCTAGGTGAGCCTGGGACAGAGGTGTTTACCATGGACACCTGGCTCTGCTCAGGTCACCTTTGCCCTTCTACAGCCAGCTGCAGCAACTCTTGGTGGCTGTGTCATTGTCTGTACCACAGCTCCTGGTTGTGATGCCTGCTGGCATTCTGGATCCGTGGTCTTTCCCCCACCCACCCCCAGGGCTCTAGGCTCACATGCACTGTCCCCACTTGCCATGGCATTCCCATTTTCTAAGGCAGAGGATGTGGCTGGGGAGGTGAAGGAGACCCGTCTTCCTGTATCAACTGCAACCCTAGCCCAGAAAGTCCCTCTCTCCCTCCCACCTTCCCTGCTCCTCAGGCTCCACACTGATTCCTACTCAAGCACCCTGGGAGGAGCCTCCCCAGGAAGTCCTCCCTGATAGTGGCTCCCCTTTCATACCTACACTACTCCTATATTTTGTCATCTCAGAGGGAGGTGGGACTCAGGGGAGGGGGTTGAGCTGAAAGCATTATTGCTTCTTGCTGCTGCTGGCTAGCCTAGGAGAGTGGTACCACCTTCAAGACTCTCAGCCAGGTCTGTGCTTGCCTTAGTGACCCTGCTTTTTGGCCCCGCTCCCCGCCTTGTTTGCTAAAGGCAGTTAGTTTACCTGAAGGCTCCAAGGCAGGAGTGGTGCATTGCTGGCTGGATAGCAAGCTTGGCTCTGGGCCCATGAGGCTGCAGTCAGGAAGTCTCAGGAGAGAACACGAGTATTCCAGAAACCCAATACACTGCACACACCTATACAGCTCCTCAAATATATCTGTACACACACAGATGTACAAACAGACACATAAAGATACATACATCCACGTGGATTTAGAGGCACACCAACCCCCACCCCAGTGCACACAAGCTCACACATCCATATAGAGGCTTGCAGGACACAGACCCAAGACACTCAGACCTGCACCCCATGAAGATCCCAAATATGGACCTCACACGGGAATGATTCACACACAGAACCACATACTCACGTGAGTATTCTTGTAGACACACACGTGTGTCTCCCCATCCCTCTCACTTCTCATCACACTAACACAGACGCATATCCTCCTTCTGGAGCATCCCAGCCTACACCCACTGCAGCCTCAAGGGGCACAGGCATGTTGGTCTGGCAGCTAGCTGCCGTTTCCTAGGAAACGCTGTCACCCCGTGTCATTGCAGAGCCTGGGGAGGCCTGGGGTATATGCTGGATGAGCCCACAGCCTATCTGGAGTTCAGACTACAGAGGATGTGCTAAATGAAGAGGGGATGCTCACTCAAGGACCCACGTACAAGTATTACTCCTTTAAGCCCAAAGTTTTGCTACCCTTGGTACCGTGTGCTGGAACCTGAAGGAGAAGAAAGCATTGTCTTTCCACCTACTTGTCTCCACTCTGATCTGCAGTGCCCATGAGTGCTTTTGTTCATGAAACACCTGTTTACCGGAGGTCAACAAACAAACAAAACCAACAAAAACCCAGCCATGAAAAGGAGGAACTGAAGAAAGTGGGCCCTAGAGCCCAGCTTGCCCTGAAGGAACAAGACGAGGGTGGGGAACTACGAGGCCCAGGACATTCAGAAAGGAACAACAGCCTTGGGTTGGGGGTTCTGACTAGATCCTCACTCCCAGTTTTGCCCAAGAGCAATCTTAAGTGTGGGTTCACATGTTGATGGATACCAGGCAGCGCCAGTAGGATGAGAGAGAACCTTAGGAATGTTAACAGGATGCCCACTCTATCCCATGGTTGAAACAGGGAACAAAGTACGTCAGGGCCTGCCACTGGGGCTTTCTGTGGGGCACAGGGGTAGTTGCTGGGAGACCTGGATACCAGGGAGCAATGGATGGCTTGGGATGCTAATCATGGAAGCCTACAATGAGTGTGCAGTAGACCCGCCCTTCTTGCTAGAGGGGTCTTTGGTATATCTGATCTCCAGAGCATCCTCAAGCCAAGAGCTATGTGTGGATGGAGTATGGGTCACCAGAAAAGGGATGGGTACAACATTTATAGGCAGCATTCCAACTCTATTTCCTTCCTACACTGGATGCCAAACTCTGGCTCTGGCTGGCTCTGAGTTCCCATATCTGCAGGGGGGCAGGGAGTGTTTGTGCTCCTTGGAGAGAGAAAGTTAAAACAACAATGCAGGATGAAGAGACAGGGTAGGAGAGAGCAGGAGAGGACCTGGGAGGGCAGAGTGGAGGCCTTGGGTGACTGCACAATCTGAAACAACACCAAGGACAAGGTTGCCTAGTGTTGGCAGGACTCTCAGGGCCACCCTGTCAAGGCTCCTTTTCCTCAAGTCTCTCTTCCTTTCTACAGCAGCGTTCTCCCTCCATGGATCTCTGTGTCCACTCACACATTGCACACTTCTCTACGTGGGGGACTTGATCTACAGGAGCCAGGCCCAGGCCCACTTACCTCATCTCCCTAGCTTGCCAGCAGTAATGACAGTGTCTATGACAATGGTCATGATGGTGGTGATGATGAAGACAAGAAGAAGATTGTGATGGTGGTTGAGCTGAAGAGGATGATGGTGGCAAAAGTGATGGCTATGATGGTGGTGGTAGAGTTGAAAGTACTAATGAAGATGTTAGAGGTGGTTGTGATGTGATGGTGCTAGTGACGTTTATGGAGGTGCAGATGACGAAAGAGGTGAAAATGCACGTATTGATGAGGATAATGAAGTGATGGTGATGGTGGTGAAGATGATGGAGGCATTGACGGTGATAAGTCATGGTTCTGATGATAGCGGTGAAGATGAAAATGATGATGATGGGGGACCACCTGCAACCAATTTCTTAGGCCTCCAGCATGCAGCCACCAGTGACCCTTGCTTGTTGGATGCCTGGGGTCCCTGGAATGGATTTCTCCCTTTCCTTGTTAGAGCGCTTAGCAACTGACTGAGTCACAGGAAGATAGTGAAATGCAACCATCCTGTGTGTTGTGTGAGTAGGCATTAATCACACCCCTTCTGAGGAGCTTAATCAGCTTCTCCTAATCACTCCACTTCAGGGCAGATCAGGGAATTCCCTGAGCCATTGTACAGACAGCAGTCAAAGCCCACCTGGTGCTAATGAAGGGGAGTTTCAAAGGCAGCATGTTTGATTTTGAAAATGCCTTTTTAAAATTCCTGTTAGCATTTTATTTCCTCTGATTGACAATATTTCCATATGTCTATATAGAGTAGAGACTTAATCCATGGGGACTAGGAACTGGGACAATAGAAATTAACATTTTTATGTTTACTGATTTCTGACTCAAATGGTCTTTTCCTTCTCTTGAGAATATTAGCAGCCTTGGAAGTTTGTTTCCAGTAGTTTATATTTCAAGTGTTGTCCACTCTCACTCCAGCCTCAAAGCTTCAGGGATGGTCTTCGAATATGGGCTTTGATATCCAGGACAACTTGGAGTACTCACACTGCTATCGCCCACACCTGTGCTGTTGATGTGCCACTGTAACTAGAGTTCTTTGAGGCCTTGTGTGTCTGTTCACTTGAAACAGTGGACTGCAGAATTTGTGGACAGAGGCTTCTATGTGATGCCTGACAGTGTGACTATGCCCAAACCCACGGAATGTGCAGCTCCAAGAGACTAACTCTCAAGTGGAGAGGGGATGTCTGTTGGTACAGTGTCCACACCAACCCTGCC